CGGCTTTTTTCTTTTTGCTTATGTGGTGCTGAGGAATCGAACCCAGGGCCTCATGCATGCAAGGCAAGCGCTCTACCACTGAGCCACCTTCCCAGCCCTTTTTAGAGTTTTTTTTGTTTTTTCCAGGTAAGGAGTAGGTTTATTCATTGTTCCGGCTGGCACCAGGCCATCTTGGTCCTCCACGTGGTAGGGAAAGGCCTGGGAAAGAGAAAGAGCTAGGAAAGAGAGAGAGCTGGGAAAGAGAGAGAAAAGAGCTAGAAAAGAGAGAAAAGAACTAGAAAAGAGAGCATCTGGGAAAGAGGTGGGAAAGAGCAAGCTGGGAAAGAGAAGAGAGCTGGGAAAGAGAAGAGAAGGAAAGAGCTGAGAAAGAGCTAGAAAAGAGCAGAGAGCTAGAGTTTCTTATATTGCTTTCTAAAAGGAACAGAATTATAAGGCTGGGAATGTGGCTCAAGTGGTTGAGGGCTTGTCTAGCAAGATAAGGCCCCAGTTTTACATGAATGAATGAATGAGAAAAAGAGATAGAGAGAAAGAAAGAAAGGAAGGAAGAAAGAAAGAAAGAATTATTGTAAGCATAAATTTTTTTAATTGTTATTATAATATAGGTGATATACAGGGGGGTTATAGTTATATATATGTGTGTATATATGTGTGTATGTATATATTTATATCTATATATGTATATGATCGTGACCTAAGTAGCTTTAATTTACCCCTTCCCACACTCTTTCCTCTTTTTTTCCTCTCACTTACTCTCACCCACAAGTTGTTTTTTTTTTTTTTGGGTCCGGTCGTGGGGCCTGAACTCTGGGCCTAGGCGCTGTCCCTCAGCTCTTCAGCTCAAGGCTAGCGCTTTACCACTTGAGCCACAGCGCCACTTCCGGCTTTTTTGTTTTTGCTTATGTGGTGCTGAGGAATCAAACCCAGGGCCTCGAGCATGCAAGGCAAGTGCTCTACCACTGAGCCACCTTCCCAGCCCCCAGATTTCTCTTTTAAAGTACATTTTTGATCAAAGGAGAAAAATTTGACTTGCTGAAGTTTTTAAAATTTCTTTTCCCATGGAGATTAAAACAGATATAAGTTTCTATATTGTTTCAAACATCAAGAAAATATGTTTCATGCTTTACTTCTTTTGCAAAAATGAACAAGGAAATAGTGTTGTAAATTGATCTTGTGGAAAACAAGAAAAAAAATGGACCTTTGTAAAGGAAGTTTTTAAGTGTTCTATTCGAACTGTGGTATTTATACATAATACCTATTATTGGCTTTAATAAAATATGACAGCAGGGTGCAGTGCTCACTGTCTAATCCAGGTTACTTGGGAGATGGAGATCAGGAGGATTACAGTTTCAGACTAGCCCAGGCAAAAATTCACAACACCTCATCTCAACAGAAAAAGCTGTGGTATGAACCTGTCCTCCTAACTACTATAGGAAGCATACATAGCATGATGAAGATCCAGTCCACCCTAAGCAAAAATGAGATTGTATCTTAATAAAATAGCCATAGCCAGAAGGCTGGCTATGTTTCCTTCAAAAGATAGACCACTTGCCTAACAAATGCCAAGTCCTTGAGTTCAAACCCCAGTACTCTAAAACAACCCCAAAACATCCGTGACAATAAGTTACTTTTTCTAAATAAAGTAACAACAAGACCATGATACTGTTTCTGCAATGAAGAAGTAGTAGATACGTGTTTTAGAACACAGAGAATAGGTTGATTTTTTTTTTTTAATACTGTAGAAGCTGGGCACCAGTGGCTCACACGATAATCCTAGTTGCTTGGGAGGCTAAGATATGAGAATTGCAGATGGAAGCCAACCTAGGCAGAAAATCTGTGACACTCTTATCTCCAGTTAACCAGCAGCAGTAGGGAGAGTGGGGAGAAGAGGAAAACCTGGAAGTGAGGATGTGGCTTAAGTGATAGAATGCTAGTCTTGAATGGAAAAGTTAAGGGAGAGCTGGAGGTCCTGAGTTCAACCCCTAGTACACACACACACACACACACACACACACACACACACACACACACACACACACCACTGCTTGAGGCACCTTAAATGACTCCTGTGTTAGTATGATCAGTATGCTGTATTTAATAAAGTTTAAGTAGAACCAGTGATCTAGAGCATGTCCTAATGGTCACAAGGAATCAAACCGGCTGATTTCATTTCTGTCATTGTTAACTTGGGTATTTCAAAGCTCTAATTGTGACTTTCTACTTTTTTTGATTATTCCTCATGGTTCAGAAAGTTATCTTTGAGCATTGAGCCCGGATCTACCCCCCAAGCTTTCAGATGATAATGGTTTTGCTAAGGTCCGCTGCACCACACTGCTATCTCTTTCACTTGAAGCTTCCTTCAGAAGCTAAGGCTCCTTTGCCACATCTGTGCTGCAGACCTGTCCTGAGGGAGTGCTTCCATATGTTAACCTCCTTCTCAGGTCCTTCTCTTGGGGTGAAGTTCTGCTGCAAAGATCTAGGAGAAAAAGAGTAAGAGGAAGTATAGGTCAGCTTCCTGTGGGCTTTGGTAGTTTGTTCTGCTCCTTCTCCATACATTGGCTACCAACTAAATGTGGCTTTTCTTCCCTCTTCAGAATTCAAATGGGATTTACACTGGCTTCATTAAAGTGCAGATGGAACTCTGCAAACCTTCACAGGCTTCTCCCAGCCCTGGGAAACTCGCTCCTAGTAGCAATGGCTGCATGAACACACTTCATATCAGCAGCACAAACACCGTGGGAGAAGTGATCGAGGCCTTGCTCAAAAAGTTTCTTGTGACAGAGAGCCCAGCCAAATTTGCACTTTATAAGCGCTGTCACAAGGAAGACCAAGGTATGCTGGGAGCTTAAAGTGGTCTGTGTCTCTGGTCCTAATGCACAAAAGGATGACTGATACCTGTATCTCTGTCAGATGATGTCAGAGTCCTGGGGCAGATTCTGGAAAGGGTGGTGATCACTTGCGATTGTCTGGCTGTTCACATGTTTGGAGATAAGGAGTTGTGGGGCTGAGGTTGTATAAAGACACCCACGTAGCAGACATTTCTGGAGGATGTTGAGATATGCCGAAAAGGCAATTTTATTTTTGTTGTTATGTTTTATTTTTGGTGCTGGTCCTGTGGCTTGAACTCAGGGCCTACACATTGTCCGTGAGCTAAATTTTCGCTCAAGGCTACTTGAGCCACAGCTCACGTTCAGCTTTTTGCTAGTTAATTGGAGATTAGAGTCTTGGGGACTTTCCTGCCTAGGCAGTCTTTGAAATGCAGTCCTCAGATCTCAACCTCCTGAGTAGCTATGATTACAGGTGTGAGCTACCAGCAAACTGACTAGAAAGGCAGCTTTGATGGGTTTGACTTTGATGCTGATGCCCTTTAGGAACAAAAAGATATTTGCATGTTTCAAATTCTTAGTAACACAGCCCATGTTTGCTGTTCATCTGCACACACAGTCACCTGGTGGACCTGAGGATGGGGAGGTACACATGTGTTAACAGCATTTTGCAGCTTTAAGAACACTTAAAACCAGGTGAGCCGGGCATCAGTGGCTCACGCGTGTAATCCTAGCTACTCAGGAAGCTGAGATCTGAGAATCACAGTTCAAAGCCAGCCTGGGCAGGAAAGTCCATGAGACTCTTATCTCCAATAAAACCACCAGAAAACTGGAAGTGGCGCTGTGGCTCAAGTGATAGAACACTAGCCTTGAACTGAAGAGCTGAGGGACAGTCCCAGGCCCAGAGTGAATGCCATTTTAAACGAGAGCCTGGGTGTCTGAACTGCATGCTGATCTTTGATGAATAAAAATAATATTCAATTACTGAGTAAAGTGGAATAGAATGTTCTAGTTCAGACAGTTGAGTAGACATTGATGCCTGTTGTAGACAACAGCCACTTCATGATTCTCTATGCTAATTTAGAAATGGAAAATGGTACCTGTGTGCAGTAAACCATTTAAGCTTTCTCTGGTTTTGCTGGGTAAACTAAAGCTACCTAGGCCCCGACAGTAATGCCTGTCAGTTTCCCACGATGAAATGGATCTTGCTGCTGAGTTGCGCATACCTTTTCTGAGCACAGGCAGCATGAGGGAGGGCCTGCAGAGTAAATACAGAGATACCCATGTCAGGGTTCCGGTCCTCCAGGGACCACAGGCGGAGCCGCCGGGAGTGAAGGCATGTGTCACAGGAAATGTAACCTACAATGCAGCTGTATCTGGAAGTACCAGGGTAATAGAGAGAGAAGCTCAGGTGGCGTTTTTATCTTGCCCATTGCCTTTGCCAGTCACCTGGACTTGAGCCATGCGATCTGAAAGTGATACCATCCTGATGAAACCTTACCCTCTTGACTAGCAAATCACAAATCACTCAGTACTACAAGCATTACCAGCGCGCGCGCGCGTGTGTGTGTGTGTGTGTGTGTGTGTGTGTGTGTGTGTGTGTGATGTAATATAGAACTGTGCTTAAAGCCATCAGCGTTCAGAGTTTGTATTCTGATTGCTTAGTGACTACCAATGTTTATTTAATCTGCAGTGAGTTTTGCTCTTACAGCTTTGAAATCACTTTCTTTTTTTTTGGGGGGGGGGTCCAGTCGTGGGCCTGAACTCTGGGCCTGGGCACTGTCTCTCAGCTCTTCAGCTCAAGGCTAGCACTCTACCACTTGAGCCACAACGCCACTTCCGGCTTTTTTCTTTTTGCTTATGTGGTGCTGAGGAATCGA